CTCCTTCGGCGCCGATGTGAGGGCGGCGAGTGCGTCGCCGTCGAGGAGCGCCGGCAGCGCGCAGAGAGCTTCAGCATCCGACCATTTAGCCATTTCTTGGTGGGCGAGGAAGCGTCGCCGGAAGCCGCCCCAGTCGCCCTCTGCGCCAACAAACTCTTTAAGCGGAGGCAGTCTTTGGTGCAGCGCAGCAGTTGCTGTGGAACCCCGCAGGCTGCTGTCTCCACGACTCGGCTGTGTTTCGGCGCCAGAGGAGGGCGCGTCGCAGCCGTGATGACGCGCCCTCCTCTGGCGCTGACGCGGCAGCCCCAGCGAGGCCGATGTCGGACCCGAGGTTCAGGCTGGCCACGCCCCTAGCAGCCGCCGCATCGATGGCGGGAAATTCAAAGTTTGAATCTTCGGAAATGGCGGGAAGGCGCTCCGGACGCCGGCTCCCCTCGCCCCGTGGTGGACCACCAGCCCCCAGCCGCGTGATGTTCTCTAGCGTGGCGGCAGCGGCGTAAAGCAGTTCAGCCAGCTTTTCGTGAGCCAGCCTCAGCCCGTCTGTCTGCGGCCCCTCTTCATGCCGATGCTCCGGTAAGAACGCGTCCGGCCCTGGCTGCACGATGTCTTGTTGAGCCGTCTCGGGCTCGACAATTTCAGCGGCGTCCTCCATTTGTGGTACTTTGGCCCGAGCTGATTGGCGCGTGTCCATGTTCGTAGTTCTTCTGACACCAGATGAAGTACCGTTGAGGACGCTTGGACACCGTTGTAAGGCACACGTATTTATACTGGTAGGAACGAAGTGGACCAGACCACCAATAGATTAATGTGTCCGTCCGTCCGTCCGTCCGACTGTCCGTCCGTCCGTCCGACTGTCCGTCCGTCCGTCCCTCCGTGTATCAACATCGCCCCCTACTGCAAACACTTGGCATGACCCTACAAAAACCTTTAGACTCAGTGACGCTATCCTGGTAGCAACATCGCCCCCTACTGCAAACACTTGGCATGACACGTGTAACATTCCCTTATTCCCTGAGATAGCTTTTGATTAAAACCTTGAAATTAAATAAAGTGCGCGCGTTTCGTTAACATTAACGTGAGTAGCCGCGTGTAAGAGTTACATTTTAACGAGACGCGCGCAACTATAATGTTACTGAGGCCTAGTCCGTCAGCGCCTCGTATACAGCCTTAGGCTTTTGCGTGGCAAGGTATATTAAGCGTTTATTTTAATATGTTTATAAAAAATTAATTGCACTTTTAACATTAACGCGAGTAGCCGCGTGTAAGAGTTACATTTTAACGACAGGCGCGCGCTATAATCAGTAGTTTATAAACTGTATTAGTCAATTTAAAGTTACTGAGGCCTAGTCATTCAGCGCCTCGTATACAGCCTTAGGCCTTTGCGTGGCAAGGTATATTAAGCGTTTATTTTAATATGTTTATAAAAAGTTAATTGCACTTTTAACATTAACGCGAGTAGCCGCGTGTAAGAGTTACATTTTAACGACAGGCGCGCGCTATAATCAATAGTTTATAAACTGTATTAGTCACTTTAAAGTTACTGAGGCCTAGTCATTCAGCGCCTCGTATACAGCCTTAGGCCTTTGCGTGGCAAGGTATATTAAGCGTTTATTTTAATGTTTATAAAAAGTAAATTGCACTTTTAACATTAACGCGAGTAGCCGCGTGTAAGAGTTACATTTTAACGACAGGCGCGCACTATTATTAGTGGTTTATTAACTTCATTCGTCACTTTAAAGTTACTGAGGCCTAGTCATTCAGCGCTTCTTATAAAGCCTTAGGCTTTTGCGTTGTAAGGCTGGTGGTGGGGGCTGGTGGTGGGGGGTGGTGGTGAGGGTTGGTGGTGGGGGGTGGTGGTGGGGGGTGGTGGTGGGGGGTGGTGGTGGGGGCTGGTGGTGGGGGCTGGTGGTGGGGGGTGGTTGTGGGGGCTGGTGGTGGGGGGTGGTGGTGGGGGGTGTTGGTGGGGGGTGGTGGTGGGGGGTGGTGGTGGGGGGTGGTGGTGGGGGGTGGTGGTGAGGGCTGGTGGTGGGGGGTGGTGGTGGGGGGTGGTGGTGGGGGTGGTGGTGGGGGGTGGTGGTGGGGGGTGGTGGTGGGGGGTGGTGGTGGGGGGTGGTGGTGAGGGCTGGTGGTGGGGGCTGGTGGTGGGGGCTGGTGGTGGTGGTGGGGGCTGGTGGTGGGGGGTGGTGGTGGGGGGTGGTGGTGGGGGCTGGTGGTGGGGGGTGGTGGTGGGGGCTGGTGGTGGGGGGTGGTGGTGAGGGCTGGTGGTGGGGGGTGGTGGTGGGGGCTGGTGGTGGGGGGTGGTGGTGGGGGCTGGTGGTGGGGGCTGGTGGTGAGGGCTGGTGGTGAGGGCTGGTGGTGAGGGCTGGTGGTGAGGGGTCTAAATCTCACAGCGTTTCTTGTCAAAACAAACACTTTTAATTAACGTTACACTAGAATACAGTAATTTTGTCTTTAACTCCTCTATACCCGGTCGATATCCCTGTACCGGTACTAAGTATTATTCCTACCAGCCCACCCCGCAGGGTCCTGTTTTATACAAATGGTCGTACAATACTAGAGGGGTGTATCGGCCCCCTCACCCGGATAGCTGAGAATATCCTATTAGCTACCCCTGACCTATCCCTAGTCCTCCACTAACGGGGAGGCTATCTGGCCCGACACTGGTCAGTCGGGCTACGGTACCCGGAGTCCCAGAGTACTAACTCTGGTTCACGGGACCACGCCACTGGCTCGGTCCTGCGCGGCCCTGATAAGGGCGGCGTCCCAGGGGAGTCCAGGGCCTAGCTGGTCGATCTTCCGTCTTCCCCTATTTACTCTAAGACTCAACCCCGAGCTCTCTGGCTCATCCCCTTTATACCCCCCCAGAGGATCACAACCCCCCCACGCCGCCCGGTGCGGACGTCGTTGCGGGCACCACCCCGTGTACTGACGGAGCCCCCGCCCACTGTGTTTGTTATCCGTTAGATCCTATGCATACAGCCCTACACAAACAGCCCCTCTGTAACAGCCCTACAGTAGTAGTAGCAGCAGCAGTAGCAGCAGCAGTAGTAGTAGCAGCAGCAGTAGCAGCAGTAGTAGTAGCAGCAGTAGCAGCAGCAGTAGTAGTAGCAGTAGCAGCAGGAGCAGCAGTATTAGCAGGATTGGTGGCAGCAGCAGCAGTAGCAGCAGCAGTAGTAGTAGCAGCAGTAGCAGCAGTAGTAGCAGCAGTAGTAGTAGTAGTAGCAGTAGTAGCAGCAGTAGTAGCAGCAGGAGCAGTAGCAGCAGAGCAGCAGCAGGAGCAGCAGCAGAGTAGTAGCAGCAGCAGTAGTAGCAGCAGCAGTAGCAGCAGTAGTAGCAGCAGCAGCAGTAGTAGTAGCAGCAGTAGTAGCAGTAGTAGCAGCAGCAGTAGCAGCAGTAGTAGTAGTAGCAGCAGTAGCAGCAGTAGTAGTAGCAGCAGTAGCAGCAGCAGTAGTAGCAGGAGGAGGAGCAGCAGCAGGAGCAGGATTGGTGGCAGCAGCAGGAGCAGCAGCAGTAGCAGCAGTAGTAGCAGCAGTAGTAGCAGCAGCAGTAGCAGCAGCAGTAGCAGGAGCAGCAACAGTAGCAGCAGTAGTAGCAGCAGCAGGAGCAGCAGCAGCAGGAGGAGGAGCAGCAGCAGGAGCAGCAGCAGCAGGAGGAGGAGGAGCAGCAGCAGGAGCAGGATTGGTGGCAGCAGCAGCAGTAGCAGCAGTAGCAGGAGCAGCAGCAGCAGGAGCAGGATTGGTGGCAGCAGCAGTAGCAGCAGCAGCAGTGGGTGGCTGTGAATGTCTCACCACCACCACCACCCACCCCACACCCCCCAAGATGTTGAGGAAATGCCGCGAGAGTCGTGAGAGGGCTGCTGCTGCTGCTCCTGCTGCCTTCCTGTTCCGCACGGCGCTCCCAGCTCGCCCCGTCTCCTCCTCCTTCTCATCATCCTCCTCCTTCCCCGTCTCCTCCTCCTCATCCTCCTCATCATCATCCTCCTCCTTCCCCTCCTCCTCCTCCTTCTCATCATCATTCTCCTCCTTCCCCCTCCTCCTCCTCCTTCTCATCATCATCCTCATCATCATCCTCCTCCTTCCCCCTCCTCCTTCTCATCATCATCATCCTCATCATCATCCTCCTCCTTCCCCCCTCCTCCTCCTCCTTCTCATCATCATCCTCATCATCATCCTCCTCCTTCCCCCTCCTCCTCCTTCTCATCATCATCCTCATCATCATCCTCCTCCTTCCCCCTCCTCCTCCTTCTCATCATCATCCTCATCATCATCCTCCTCCTCCTCCTTCCATCCCATCATCCTCCTCCTTCCCTCCCCTTCTCATCATCATCCTCCTCCTTCCCCCTCCTCCTCCTTCTCATCATCATCCTCATCATCATCCTCCTCCTTCCCCCTCCTCCTTCTCATCATCATCCTCATCATCATCCTCCTCCTTCCCCCTCCTCCTTCTCATCATCCTCATCATCATCCTCCTCCTTCCCCCTCCTCCTTCTCATCATCATCCTCCTTCCCCCTCCTCCTTCTTCTCATCATCATCCTCATCATCATCCTCCTCCTTCCCCCCCTCCTCCTTCTCATCATCATCCTCATCATCATCCTCCTCCTTCCCCCTCCTCCTTCTCATCATCATCCTCATCATCATCCTCCTCCTTCCCCTCCCTCCTCCTCCTTCTCATCATCCTCCTCCTTCCCCCTCCTCCTCCTTTCATCATCATCCTCATCATCATCCTCCTCCTTCCCCCTCCTCCTCCTCCTTCTCATCGTCATCCTCCTCATCATCCTCCTCCTTCCCCCTCCTCCTTCTCATCATCATCCTCATCATCATCCTCCTCCTTCCCCCTCCTCCTCCTCCTTCTCATCATCATCCTCCTCCTTCCCCCTCCTCCTCCTTTTCTATCATCCTCATCATCATCCTCCTCCTTCCCCCTCCTCCTTCTCATCATCATCCTCATCATCATCCTCCTCCTTCCCCCTCCTCCTCCTCCTTCTCATCCTCATCCTCCTCATCCTTCCCCCTCCTCTTTCGTCTTCACTTCTCTCGAATCGTCGCCCGCCCGCCCCTGAATCGCAACACCGCCGGAGTGTTAGGGGTGGTGAGGGGGTGGGTGGTGGTTGTTCGCTGTTTAACTTCACGGCGTTAAACTTTTCATTTATTCGCAAAGGCGGGGAGAAGTTGGGGCGGCGGCGGTGGTGGTGGGAGGAGGAGGAGGGTAAGTTGTTAAGTTTCGAGAGAGATTTGCGAGTTGCCAGGGGTCTGCAAGTCGAGCTCGCCTCCATGCCTCCTCCTCCTCCAGCCTCCTTCTCCTCCTGCCTCCTCCTCCTGCCAGTCGCGTTTACTCTGAAACTATCATCGTGATACTTGCAACAAACACCACCCACCACCTCCACCACCAGCCGAGGCAGGTACGTGCGTGTCACTCTTTGTGTGGTGGTGGTGGGGGGAGAGACAAAGGCGGCCGGGCGTGGTTATGTGTCTGCTTGACTGTGTGCACGGTGTGTTGTGTTGGTAACACAGGAGGGGGGTTTACATTCGCGATGTTCACACTCCGCTGATTCTACTTCTACCTCGAAGGATACCGACGGTTCAACGCCGCACACACAACGTGGCGCGTTTGTAAACAAGAAGATGACCCGCTTGTGTGTTGTGTGTGTTAGATTGTTGTGTGTGTTAGATTGTTGTGTGTGTGTTAGGTTGTGTGTGTGTTAGATTGTTGTGTGTGTTAGATTGTGTGTGTGTGTTAGATTGTGTGTGTGTGTTAGATTGTTGTGTGTGTGTTAGATTGTGTGTGTGTGTTAGATTGTGTGTGTGTGTTAGATTGTTGTGTGTGTGTTAGGTTGTGTGTGTGTTAGATTGTTGTGTGTGTTAGATTGTGTGTGTGTTAGATTGTGTGTGTGTGTGTTAGATTGTGTGTGTGTGTTAGATTGTTGTGTGTGTGTTAGATTGTTGTGTGTGTTAGGTTGTGTGTGTGTGTTAGATTGTTGTGTGTGTTAGATTGTGTGTGTGTGTTAGATTGTGTGTGTGTGTGTTAGATTGTGTGTGTGTGTTAGATTGTTGTGTGTGTGTTAGATTGTGTGTGTGTGTTAGATTGTGTGTGTGTTAGATTGTGTGTCTGTGTTAGATTGTTGTGTGTGTGTTAGATTGTTGTGTGTGTGTTAGATTGTGTGTGTGTGTTAGATTGTGTGTGTGTTAGATTGTGTGTCTGTGTTAGATTGTTGTGTGTGTGTTAGATTGTTGTGTGTTAGATTGTTGTGTGTTAGATTGTTGTGTGTGTGTTAGATTGTTGTGTGTGTGTTAGATTGTTGTGTGTGTTAGATTGTGTGTGTTAGATGATTGTGTGTGTGTTAGATTGTTGTGTGTGTTATATTATTGTGTGTGTTAGATTATTGTGTGTGTTAGATTATTGTGTGTGTTAGATTGTTGTGTGTGTTAGATTATTGTGTGTGTTAGATTATTGTGTGTGTTAGATTATTGTGTGTTAGATTATTGTGTGTGTTAGATTGTGTGTGTGTTAGATTGTGTGTGTGTTAGATTATTGTGTGTGTGTTAGATTGTGCGTGTGTTAGATTATTGTGTGTGTTAGATTGTTGTGTGTGTTAGATTATTGTCTGTTTGTGTTAGGTTGTGTGTGTTAGATTGCGTGTGTGTTAGATTGTATGTGTGTTAGAGTGTGTGTGTGTTAGATGATTGTGTGTGTGTGTGTGTGTTAGATGAGTTTGTGTGTGTGTTAGATGATTGCGTGTGTGTGTGTTAGATGATTGTGTGTGTGTGTTAGAGTGTGTGTGCGTTAGATGATTGTGTTAGATGATTGTATGTGTGTGTTAGATGATTGTGTGTGTGTGTGTTAGATGATTGTTGATTGTGTGTGTGTGTTAGATGATTGTGTGGGTGTGTTATATGATTATGTGTGTTAGATGATTGTGTGTGTGTGTTTGTGTTAGATGATTGTGTGTGTGTGTGTTAGATGATTGTGTGTGTGTGTGTTAGATGATTGTGTGTGTGTGTTAGATGATTGTGTGTGTGTGTGTGTTAGATGAGTGTGTGTGTGTTGCAAACCACAAGGTCTAACGCCGTATTATTGTAGAGGGAAATTGAGTTTTCAGTTCCATACGGATGGCTGACAGCCGTTTCATACGGGCAAAAAAAATGTTTGTCTATTTGTTTGCGTTTCTCCCTCGTGATGATAGGGGACTTTGTGGCATGGACGTTGAGTTTTCTAAGGGGGCACGGGGTGACCAATAAGGTCTGAATTGGTCTGTAATAAGGTAGGGGCACTTATAGGGGGTTGACAGGTATGGTGTTGTCGAGTTCAATTTACACCCCTTGCCATGACGGCAATTCTCATTTGAAGTCCATTCATGATCATTAAGTTGCTCGGCAGCTGCTGCTTGTGGGTATTTTGCTTAATGTCGTTGATAAAGCACTGCACCATTGTCAGTGTAACTCTCTTGATGCTGATTATTGCTGCACGGTGCGTGTGTTAGTTTCGCATAGCTGTCCTTGTATCTACAAGTATCTACAAATATCATACTTGTAGATACTTGTAGATACGGTATATCCCGAGAGTAAAACTCGTAGTTCGTCTTCATTCATTGCGCAATGTGCTTGCTGTTACCGGAATGTTATTATTGTAGAGTTCAACGAAATGCGTGGCTGTTTGCAAACGCTGACTCGTTATTAGGGGCATGTTCCGAAAGTTTGTTGATAGACCAAACAAATACTGTATGTATTGTAGATGCTGTACTACCCCCGCTGCTTGCATACAATGCAGAGCCCTGTTAATGTCGACGTACACGTGCGCTCCACTTAATGTGGGCACACCAATGTTGTGAACACATTGCTTATCCTGTCCTTGTAAGAACCAAAATACTTGCTGCCCCAATAGCGAGCAGAGTAAGTATTATTCTTGCACTGTGCTGCTGGTGTATGTGCTCCAGGTTTGTTGCAAAGTACATATTTACCGTCGCTTTTTGACTGAAGTCAATACTGAGTCAATAACGAAACAAAGTGCGTTTCAAAACAAAATCCGCACTTGAACACACTTCATTGCAACCGTTGTCTAAACCGCCAGGACCTTTCACGCAAAGTTCACATGGCCCCTCAACATCTTCAGCCAGGACGTTCTTGTTGTTGTAATTGTCCATCTGTTAAAAGGAAACGTGGACATGGACAAAGAAAATGGGACGAAATCTGAAAAGTGACCAAATGAGCATTTGGCAGATGGTGCATGCTTGGAATTGCACCGAGTTGGAAGAAGGATGAAATCGTTGATTAGGCAACATATTTGGGAGATCATATTGGACTTCATAAATGAGTGGATATATCATTGGTGATGATGATGACACGTATCAAGAATGGCCAGTGGTCGAGACGAACGATGGATTGGCAGTCTTGGGAGAGAACACGGTCGAGAGGACATCTGACCTTGAGATGGAGTGACAATCACCAAATGTGCTACAAGGATGTTGCATAGCAGGACCATAAAGAGATTAGGACTTTGGGATTCCTTCATCCAACAGCGGATTGGTCGTGGCTGATGATCTTTGAGTTCATGTATTTCAGCAAAATAAGACATTTCAAAGGCATAGTTTCTTGAGTGCTAAGATGTGGGACATTTTAATCCCTGAATTCGTGAAATTTGCACATTCCTACAAAGGGCCCAGTATACAAGTCGTCGTTGGCAGCAGTGGATTTGCACCGTAAATAATGCGAATCTCTTAAGTTACTGAAATTAGTCACTTCTGTGCAAAAACATGACATTCGTCAACGTATTCTCGGAAACATCCCTTCGACTCGACTCACACAAGTCGTTATCTCGGTATTTTAACATTGTTTAAATACTAAACATCCGTGGTTCTTGCCCTGGAATGACCCCCCCCTCCCCCCCCGTTGGTGTCGTGTGGTCTTTTTGGTGATCCTGCCAAAACTTGCTGTGACCCCGTTAGGTGGTTTTGACTGCACAACCGTGAAGCTTTCACAATAGCTCGGCTCTGCAACACGATGCTGGCGAATCCGTTAAAGGGCTCTTAAGAATGCCCAGTTCCGTACAAAACATTGCTGTAAATCCTAATTGTTGTTATGGCTAAAGAAGCGTGGGGGGGGGGGGGGGCCTTGGTTGACAAACAGCACACAGTTTCACAAGGACGGTACTGTGCACAAGGAAGAGTTCGCAGCAGAGTCTTTGTAAATTGTTAGAACGACGGGTCATTCCACGCTCAAGAGCGAGAGATGTTGTTACCTTTTCACATTGTACATGTACAGCACTTTTGTCAATCCACTATTGTGTGTTGTCCAGGATATTTGACCATACTTCACTTCACGCTGGGCAATGAGCGGGGTTGGTGAAGGCAGGGAGCATAGACGGATCATAGTACTGTACAACAATACAGCAATACCGAATTAGAATGTCATTCAAACTGCTTTAAGAAGAACTCGCATGCAAGGCATATCGGTTTAATGTTTTTTTCCCCCCCAGTATTTATGTTTTGCTACATACGCGGTACAAATGCTGTGTTTATAACTGACAATTAAATTCGCCAACTTGTTTCATTAAGTACTTTAGTAATGCTGGCATTTATTATTTATTTAATGTACGTGTGGTCATTTCCTCAAACTCTCCCTGCCATCATAAATGGGAAATGTGGCGGTGATGCTACCCACTCGTATGGGCCGGCCTTAGAGAGACTGCGGTTGTGTGCACACATGCAGAGCATTAGCTCTGGAGTACAGTGCTGTGCCGCACTCCACACAGGGCTTGCTGAGAGATTTAAACTTTACTATGCCGATCCAACACAATGAACACCATTTAAAGGTTACGTCCGTAAATCAGACGTCTTCAAATTGTATATAATGGCACGTCAAAGCATGGAACAACACGTCAATATGCAAGCAATACGGATTTGAATGCATCACGGCCTTAATTTGTACACACTTAACCATTGAAGCGCTTGCGAATCTCGTACAACTCTATTGTAGGCCCACTGCACTGGACATTTGCAGTTCTAAACATAACTTTTAAGGGCAGCATAACATGTGCCGGGTCATCTTGCCGATGACAGGATTGTGGGGCCCCTTGCAAGTTGTATACGTGCACCTAGATATTGCATGGTGAGCCTTCGCAGTTCTAAAAGCACACGGGGCATGTGTATTTCGCTATTCGCATCAGCCACATCTCATAGTAAACCATTAGTTTGCCTCGATGTATTCTCCATTTGCAAGAAGGGGTCAACCGGCGGTGTCAGCGCATCACTTTGCAGAACTGCAGCCATCCAAACTCCCAAGATGCTTCATATTGGTTTAGCTGCATTACCGCAAGTAAAAAAAATGCTTAAGTAAAAACCCATTTTCTGCAGCGTGAACCAGATCAAAGCAACTGGAAGAAAAAAAAATCTGTCTTTGCAAAAAGCGTGGAGAATGTGAAGCAAAATAACAACATGTTTTAGGTAACCTTAAAGTACTGTTGTGCATTTTGAGAGCAAGTGTGACTTGTGTGACACACCACAGTTTACTATTAGACTGAATAAAATATACATCTTTAAAACAGTCGTGAAATGCCAAATACGTATGTACATTTAAATGTGCAGTCTGTGGGCAAAACTCTGTTGTTGAGCAATACTGATGTTGAGAAATATAATGTCCGTGTGTCCCCGAGTCACATCATGTCTACATAGCTCTCGGGAGAAAAACTTCTCCAGGGCACCCATTCACAGATGTAGTCATGTAACTTATTAATTCAGTTATCCACTAGAGAATGACAGGTTCCCATATTCTTTGGGTCTTTCGGTAAAGTCACGTAGATGGGTTCAAAGAAAAGAACAGCAAAAATAACAAAAAAACTACGACGTTTCGATCACAACACAAACGATCGTCATCAGGAGGAAAAAAGAGGGAGAAAACTGCGGAGGCAGACTGACGTGACTTTACCGAAAGACCCAAAGAATATGAATTCCTGCAGTCACGAAAGCTTTAAGTCAGGAATGACAGGTTCATTTATGCTGGGAAATACTTGTGAAAGTATAAGCCATTGTCTTGCTTTCTGTGTGCAAAATATGATTGTCTGGGTTTGACCCGGACAATCCAGGAATTAGCATCTGTGTTCGGTTGGTGAGAATTAATTTGTACCGAGTGCTGGTACTGGTATTGTGTTTAAAATTAAAATACATTGCACAATGTTGATTGACCTAGCTTCACTGACATAATTTGCATGAGTTTGGTCTAGAGGCACCCCTAATTTAAAACCTGTTTGAGGTTTCAGACCCGTGCTTGCGGTTTATGCTTCTTCCAAGTCGTAGAACTTGAAATATAGCATAGCCTATGCGTGTATCTACACAGGGCTTGTGTGTGACACGCGGTGGGTATTTTGATACTCGCTCATCACCATGATCAGGAATTCATACTGTATTTCATAGGGAGCAAAATGGACAGCAAATATGAGAGCTGGCCTAATTTTTACCCACGAATTTGTTGAAATTGTACATTTGTTTTATGTTAGATTCCGTGTGTAGCATAGGTCCGTGAAATTTGCTCTTTGGCTAGACATTTTGCATGAGGAATAGCTACCCAACCACATAAGCCACTGGTCAATGTGCTGTGTTCTGTTAGCCCAAAATGGAGGCACTGGGCTTAGGGAAACATTACTACCTAGAAAATAAATCACAAGGTGGAATGTCAGTTTAATCTGTTATTGGTAATCTTTTCACTTGAGCACCATCCGGACCTAATGGACAATTGAGAAAGCATGCCCACACCCTACGTAGAGTATAATTGACTAGATATGATCCACCACCTTGAATGTTTTATTTTTGAATCACGGAATGCAGATTACCAATGTGAATCTTAAACTCGCCTGACAACATTTATGGGATGTTTGTCATTTCAGTTCTTAAATGTCACACTTCATTGGTTAAATAATAAAACAATGTTTTGGGCTGCTCATTTTATAATGGTTTGCATGGTTGAGCAGTTGCTGCTGTTGGTATAAAGGGCAGCCCCATATGGGTTTGTTGTCCACTCTGATTGATTTTTGCACGTGCTGAATACTTTTCACCAGAAACACTATTGTCCGAGCAGCCCTGTTGGCCAGAAGGTGGAAAGTTGTGTTTAAATTATCTTAAAATATTAAACTTAAAAACGACGTTGAGCCTTTGCGTTGACCTATAACCCAATGTTTCCATTCAGTGCAGTTGGCGGTGCTGTTGAGAAGTTACTTGGAGAAAGAATGTGGACCTGGGCACTTCTGCCTCTTGGCTTCTCTTCTTTGGGCGTGGCTGGATTTTGGACTGTGTAAGCTGACAATCATTTAATTTTGTTTTTAGCTTTTAAAAGCATATGTGAATATGAGCCTTTAAAAAAAACAAGACACGTATCATAAAGCATTCTGTGAGCACTGTTGTTTTAACCAATAACATGCATTGTACTGTGTGTAATTATTGCCTCTGGACAAGGGAAGCATCAGATGTCAGATGCTAACCAGATTAGAAGCCTGGATAGTGCTTGATGGGTAACCACCATTCAGAAAATAAGTGTCATAGGGTGATGTGAGTCTACGCTGTGGGTAGTAGAGGGTAATGCAGCAACATCCATTCTTGTGCTGCTATACGTCTGTACTTACACATCTATTTGCTACCTGCCTTCACCAACCCACATTGACCAACGTGGTAAAGCATGGTCAAAAAAAAATCCCACACCTCGAATAACCTGAACTAATTTTTTTTACCAGGTAAGGCCCACTAAGCTATATAGCTCTTTTTCAGAAGTGACCTGACTACAAATGATAGCTCAACGAAGTGGCTTATCATGCAGAAATGCAATGCATCCAAATGCTCTAAACTTATGTTTCTTAACGTGTGGTGTGGGGAGGCCCGCATTCAGCAGTGGATTGACAAAAATGGGATGTCTATTGTTTTCATGTAAAAATACTGAACATCTGTGTTTTCTTTAGATACATCGTGGCTGGCAATAACACCCCAGTGAGCCCATTAGTGAGTTTTCCTTATATAAGGTACAGCTTCAGAACACTGCACGTCGTAGTGATTTATGCACCTCATTAATTTTGTTTTCCTTATCAAGGAATTTGGAATTCTTCATGAGTCCTTCACTGTTATTACACCAATCTGTATTGATTGAATATACTATTCTACATTGATAAATTGTACATTTATTCTGCATTAATACATTTTACATGTATATACAAATTTCAGATGCTGATGTATATTTGAAAGCTCTTGTTATAAAGTGTCACATTAACATACATGGTGTCCATAAAGGGTATCATTCATTCCTAAAGCATTATATGGTTCAGCAGCAGTGTGAACTGAGCAGTTGAAATATTGGCAACATTATATACTAAAGTTTTTTTTAAACCAAAAAATGTTGAGTGATCTTCAACAGCACACGAGGGAAGCAATTGGAAACAAGATGTTGCCAAACGACCTCGGGCTCTCAAATCTCGATGCGATGCTTGTTGTCAACGCCATGGCAAAGGTTTAGAGGGACGAGACTATTGCACGAGGGAATCTTCACACTACCAAGTGTGTGTATGGCTAGTTTTATCGACTTATTTCCAACTGCTGTCTAATTATAATTTTTTAATAATGGATGATATTTTATGGATGGTGTCCGTACTATACACTCACCTATGTTGGTTATACTGATTCACTTACAGTACTTTGTGTATTGTATTGTGTCTTCTTTTTTTCAGTGACTGTGGGACATATCCACCACAGAGCTGTCTCTTTGGACAACTGTTGAACGTTGGTGGTTTCACAGGTACAGGCCGTGGGCACGCCTTTAACCACCAACACATTTCGTCGCATAGCAGTAGAACTTGCGCATTCAACATGCACATCTGTTTCTGTTTACACCATTGTGTACATACTGTGAACGTGTTTTTACAATACGATTTCGTGTCTGTGTGCAGTGCTAGTTATTTGTTTAATCCGGTACCGGCAAGTGGAGGGCTATGGTTATCATTCGTGGATCAACACGCTGAGTCTGCTGATGGGTGTGCTGTGTGCATTTGGGGCAACACTGGTGGGAAATTTTCAGGTAGGCGGATGTGCAAGTATGTGCTATGATCTTTCATATGTATAGTGTGTGAATTCTTTGTAAGAACTCATCTCCGTGTTTTGAAAACTATGGTTATCAATATCAAGGCGTTATGCATAACAGTACCATTACTGGACAGTCCTCAGAAACGTTTTGTGCGTTTTACTTGGTAACGGAGTTGTTTCATTATACTCTAGTTTATTAAATTAATTGTTGACTTGAGTTGTACAGTAATTATGTACTGTGCATATTTTCTTGAAATTCGTTTGCATCTATTATTGTTTTTTACCCAGGTCAAATTACTTGTGTAATGAATGACTACAAAAGTCATTGAAAAGTTAGAATTGATATGATTTATATTTTTTACCTTAAGGTAGCAAATGTGAAATTAAACGTCCACAATATGTACATCTCTGATTTCTATAAGATGAAATAAGCTTTGGATGAATGTATAGCAAGCAAAATTATCTTTATTTATCAATTAACTGATCAATAATTAACATGCCTACTGTCAGCACCTATTCCTCTGCATTAAACGCCATTCACTATCCAATACTACAATTTACACATGGAGTGAAAATTATTTAAACATTTAAATATCATTCCTCCAAATATTCTTGCCTTTCACCAACGTTCTCTTCTATTGGTCAAAAGTGCAATCATTCGTCTCGTCATTTGGGATATTCAAAACCACAAAGAGTCTTGATCGCAACAGTTGTGGGATCTGGCAGAAGGAAATAAGTGATGGTGAAGTAGGGTTTCGTCAGCAACATGGGCAGTAACGAATGACTTCTTGACCTTTAAAGCCTACAATTAATGTACTTTCAAATCGTAATATATTCCCTTATCCTGCATTTAGCGATTCAAGGTTGAAGCCAAATGGAGCCTTACATTTTCCATTGTGTTTTTGCGGTGTACCGCATGTGGTTTGGCACGGTGGTGGTGCATGCCTGTAATCCAGCACTCGAGGCGAGAGATGGTGGATCTCACAAATGTTGTGAAACGCCCTTCCAGTGGGTGTCGAGGTGCTATACCCTGGCTTTAATCATAATATCTTTACATCTGTATGGGATAGTGCTGCCCCTCGCATGTGTGGATTTTCTCTAGGTGCTCGAGTTTCCTTCCACTTGTATGAAAACTAATTAATTGGCTGAAAACTGATTAAAATAAGTACCCCAGTGCAGCAGGAAAAGAGGCCTTCGACTCGATCTGGCTTTCCTGGATTTAAAAAAAGGTAATTTATTTAATCATTATTAAACTATAGCTGACGTTTTGGTCCACAAGCTGGGAAAAAATTCTGCAAAATTCAGTTCCTGAAGAAACTCTTTACGCTCGTACATACATCCAAATGAAACTAATTTCACTCAAATGTCAGAAAGCCATGCAAATCAATTCCTGACAACACTTGACAGCACTTGGTAGAAAACGTCAGACATCATGTGCAGCATTAAGTGACATTCTGCCTTTGGTGACTGTCTCTCCGTCATGCAGGAGACGAACCACCTGCCAACGCACATGGTGGGCGCTGTGCTCACCTTCGGGGCAGCCGTGTTATACTTCTGGCTGCAGTGCGTGTTGGTGCTGCGCGTACGACCACGGCACGGGGGCCTCGCGCTCGCTGGCATTCGTATCATCGCTTGCATCCTTGCCACCTCTACCTACATTCTCGGTACGCATCCTGCACGTTGACCGCATGCATGGGAACAAGAGGGCACGGTGGTGCTGACTACGGTGGTTCGCTCGGATGTTACTGCACTAAGCCTGGGTTAGAATCTTGGGTGAGTGTTCAAGATTACAAGCGGGTTCCCAAGGTGTTTTATCACCAGTGACTACAATAGTCGGTGTCTCCAAGCACACAACATTGGGTCGTGGTCCTCTTCATTGGTGGCCCTGAGCAAGCGGTATAAATAACAATTCTGTGCCAGTGACCATGCGCTCCATAGTTTGACTTCAGTTAAATGTTTTTATTGTTCAGGAATTGTATCAACCAAATCATCATGATCACTAATGATGAGACATCATATTGACAATACGGTACTGAAAAATCAGAGATGTTATATTGACCATTAAGAAAAATAAATGGGTGTGGATAGGAGAAATCACTCGACCAGATGGATTATGGACAAGACTAGTGATAGAATGGTAGCTGAAGGAGAACATTCCTCCAAGGAGATGGAGCAACTAGATCAATTCGTGGGAGGGAATGAGATAGATGGTAGCAGCTCTGGACCATGAGGAATTGCAGTAGTGTGGGGAGGCCTTCGTGCAGCAGCGGAGACAATGCTGATGACAATGATGGATGAAGACATCCCTGCACCAATGCCATCGCTCGTGGTTCTGTAATATCAAGGGGAATGATAGGCAAAGTCGGTTTATGATTTCGCCCTAAAATGTACCCAAATTTCTACTTGATCTTATCAGATCTCCAAAGCAAAGCAGTGTTGTTAGTCCATGAATGGTTGACCACCCAGGCTTGCCGAGTGTTGCAGGCGTTCGGCTGCGAGATGTCGCCAAGAGGCGTTCACCTGGTACTCCACAGTTTCTTCTCACATGCCAAAAACTCAGTAATAGAATTGGACAAACATTACAATGCAAGACCCTCCTGAAAAATAGTCTTGAGACTCTCCTTGCTAAATAATTGGCATTCATTTATGAAGTAAAACTTTATGCAAATTTTTGAACCACATTCTGCTCACAGAATTTGGGGAAATATTTATCAGTTTTTTTGTTTATAAGTGTATTATCTGGTTGAATAGTGTTATGCCAGCTTTCCATAATTTGTAAAGTCGTTCGTTCAATTCATGACTAATGGTTGACTCAGCTCATCAAACATCCTGGGTCAAATTTTTTTTGGCACAATTCTAGAAGTTCTACCACGAGATGAGGGTCACCACCAAACATTTTCACTGCCCAATACTCATTTATAGCTCGTCAAGCTTTAACCAGTGTACTTTTATATAAGTACCTTTTTCACCTTATTACGTAACTAGTAACACAATTGGTAAATAATTAACTGATGACGTTGAGAAATACACCAATAAAAAATACCTTTGACCATATCATCCAAAGTGCCATGTATCTGCTCAGCTCTCAGAACCAAGCTGCATTAAGCCTGTATAGCACTGGGATGGGTGACCCACCATGCACAAAACAAGACTTATAGGCTGCTGTAGGGCTACGTTTTCAGCAGATGTCAAGTGAACTAAAATCCATTGTATTGTATTCCACTTCCAGGTATATAAGCTCCCTGCCTTGCCAAAGTCACACTGACCAGCTTGGGAAAGTATGGTTAAATAATGCCCATGATCCACATGGCTTGAAGAGGCCCTCTTCTAGTAGTGGATTGACCAAAGTGCTGTACATGTACACATGTAAAAATGAAAGCACAACATAGGACATGAACAGGGTAGTCGAGGACAGGTTAAGTAATAAAAGAGGTCAAAAAAGCGATTGAGAGTTGTGGTGGAAGGGTAGCAATGTCGGATGGGAATGGGCGTGTTTGTACTAACAAAGTAAAATTAAGATTCTTACAATGAAACTTCTGAAATAGATATTATAAATATTATTTGTTCGTATTATCCTAATTTAGTGTATCAGTGCCTGGCTTATAAAATATCCCAAACAACAATAAGTAATTTTCATTTAGGAAGCAGTTTTTTTGCAAGGGTGTTTCACGCACAGCTTCATTCGTGTGTAAAATATACATCAGTGCTATTACCAGAGAATTCTGCCTTTGGCTGGCTCCCAGACCTAATTTTCATCAAGTCAATGTTTCTTTAATAGTACACACTGCACCTGAAATTTCCAGTTGGAGAAACGAAAAAGCATTCCTTTACCTGGGGAGAGGGGAATTTTCTACCAACCTCCCAGCCACCTTTGCAGTTTCCTCTGTACCACATCTTGATATACTCATTTCAGTTAAAAGTAAATCTAAAGGTGCAGTCCTGCAATTACTTATTCATGCATCTGCTAGTAGAAGAACCAATACTAGAGGGAGATATAGAGAGGCCCTCTGAGAGGATATTTTGGCTTGCTCTTCTTCACGAGCCAGATGTCTTGGAAGGGATGGGAGTACCCACATTTTGCCTTTCCCTATGGGACCTGCCGAATGACTAACTAGAGAGAGGGGCGGGGATTAAAAAAACGTGCCCATTTTCTTCAGTCTTTTCCAGAGATGGAACTGCCAACTTCAATATTGCAAGTTCATTGAGCTATCCATTATGCTAGTGTAGCATACCATTTTACCCAGTACTTTGTTTATCACTATGTTTTAAACTATTGAGATAACAAGTCTCTGTATTTGTACAAATTTAAATCCGTAAAAGTTGAATGTCCACAGGTACGTAATGTCAAATACAGCATGACCCTGCGGATTACGGGAGGGGGGCTGCTTTCAGGAGGGAACCAGGAATCCGTGAAAAATATGCAGATTTCTGGCTCTCTGCTGGCATGGATTACAATTATTGGAGTCCTGCTATATATATAAAAAACTCAAACAACAAAACACAAACATCTGAAAACAACCAGTGTGAATGTAATGACAGTGGAATTATTATAATTAAACATTACAAATGGAGAGAGACCCCTATATTTAACCACATCAGATGCTCAAAAGACGTTTAAAATTTCCCAATTAAAGATTTGAATCTACATTATCGAATTTTAACGAATCTTCAACACAATTTATCAATCGGAGGCACTGCAGTAAAAAAAATGTTGGCCAAAATTTGTATTTCCTTTGGTTGTTTGATGGCATGGGCTAGGGTAGGCCTTCGTCCAGCTTGCATTGATCATGCCTGATGTTGATGATTGTAAACAAAGATGTATTATGTCTCAAGTAAACCGTGGTTTTCCCCTCTCTCTCCCTGCTATTTTTCACAGCGCCTGTGTTTTATTATGAGGACATGCGGAACGCCTCGGCCATCTGCGAGTGGATCTTAGCAATGGACGTTCTGCTGTACTTTGGGACATTTGCGGTGGAATTCAAACATATTACCCACTTGGGGCTCAGGCTGGAGGTTGACCATACGTGCCGAATGAATTCTTGCAATGGACTAATGTCTTCTGCTTCTTCACCGCTAACAATACCGTTGCCAAATGCTCACTCATTACCCGAATGAGGTTTTGTTCCATAAAAACTGTTTACAAAAGTGATCTCACTTGATCACTCAGACACTTTACCATTACCCATTGTTTTTTTTCACTCTTGTACAATTTAGATTTTATTCATGTAAAATATACAATTGCGCTTGATTGTTGGTGAATTTACAGAACCGCAATGTAGTCAAGTGTTTTAAAGTTGTTAAATGTGGCCGGTTAAAAGGATGGTAAGAACTGTAAAAATGAATGAATCTGCTACGACTTGAAATTATCATTAATATTCCATTCATTATATTGGTCATGCACTAGTTGCATGTACCATAATTGTCCTTTGCAATTAACGTCCCTCATTTACACAGCTAAATGTTTCCTAAGATGCCTTCCAAAAAAAGCAACAAAATTGCCTTGTATTTAAAGAATAAACCTTTAAGTGAAATATTAACACATTATGGTAAAGATTAACATTAAATATATTCAATGAATATGGTTACTGGGATACAATTTTCCAAAAAAGCAATTGCAATGGCTTATTGCTGTTAATGCAGGGATTACCAATCCTAACGTGTCTGTTTGTATCATGTCCTGGTACCAGCACACGTGTGTGTGTCTGTAAAGGTCCTGGACACGTGGACCACATGTTTATCATGTTAAGAACAGTATGTACAAAACAACTAAATGTATTGCAGTCCTTCTGCTCAGCATTTGTATTTTGAGTTAAAGAAACGTGTACTAAGTCCCGCACTTATACTTGTTTAAATGCAGTTGTTCAGCTGCCGACAATCAACTTAGCTTGAACCTGCTCCTGTTGTGCAAGAGAGTTGACACTTGTTTGGAAATGGGGTACTCGTAAAGATCAATAGCTGGGTGAGATTTGTTTCTTAGGTGCTTGAGAAAACTAGCAATCCATAAAAGGTATTTGTTTTATCCAGTATTTGAGACAATCCGTTGCATCTTATACGACAACTATATTGCATCAATTGTTTTATTATGTTATCTGAAAGGTGGGCATTGTATGTGGCCTGTAATGATGGACTTTGGTCTATTAACTGACCGTATTAAAGTCACAAGTGCATTAGTCAAGAATGTAAAATGCAAATGCCATCATGCTGCAAAAATTTTTATATCTTTGAACTGTTGGTAGATTAACAACACTCTAAAAGTATGTCATTTGTATTCGTTCAACTGTAACTTTATAAAGCATGTGCTGTACATGCACATTAAAGTGCAGTACTGTATTTAATTTAAACAAGTTAACCAAATTTTACAAAGTCTATGCAATATACTTGCTTACTGTATTTTAAAGAACAACGTACTAACTGCATTATGGTAAATCATGTGACAATGTTATGATGAGAATGGTATTTTTGTTTTATATCAAGTGAATGTTCGGCATAGCCTACCCTCGAGAGGCAGACCGGTGAGTCGGAGATTATGCCTGTATTTTTAAGTGCCTTTTTTATTATTTTACAATGTTTTGATATTGTCAAAGGTCCACCAATGTATAAGCTGTTTAACTTTAAAATATTGCAGCATTGCTTGAAGTTTTTTTTAAAATTCCTACTTTGATAGTGCGTTTGCATTCAAAGCATATAACACACAAATACTAACATTTAGGTTTCTGCTCATTGCTGTAAAACAATAACAATTGATTACTCTAATGCCCTGCACTAACCATTAAATGCAATTCATATGTATGTCTCCTAAAATCTGCAATATTTCACATGTATGCAGTGTTATTTTTTTGAAAGTGCTCATATTTTTATGGTACTCCAAAAATAAATGTGGAATGTATGCTCTGAAGATGATTGCCGATATACTTTGTTTAATCCATTACTGTTATGTTATTGTTACGTTTTAACGAAGAAAAAAGGTTCAAAGGAAAATTATGAAAAATGTTAATAAATATTTTTGCATTCGTAGATTTTTGGTATTTTTAGATATTGATGTATATTATTATTTGTTTTGTGTCTGGGCAATGGTGCTCTCACCAAAATCCTAGACTCACTTTACAAAAGCTTTCCTTGTGTTCATTATTACGTCTTTATCGGATTTGCACAAGCATACGTGATCCTCTTAAGAACTTTATTAAAAACAAGCACAGTACAGTAGTATTAATTTTTAAAAAATGTAACATGGTGAATATGCATTTAAATGTATTAACACTTAAGTAGAACTGCTGTTACACGAACCAGTACACTCTGGTTTCTGCCAAGGCCATTCTACAGAATCTGCTCTCCTTCATGTGACATGACCACCTTTTTACCTTAACGTGAATCATTCCTAGCTCTCCTAGATATGCAGCTTTTGACACCATAGGCTACTCACTTTTATTGTTTCCATAACTGCGGTTATCTCCAGCACTGTCCACTCCTGGTCCCTTCCTTACATTCGAAACCACTCCGTTTCCATACGGGCAAGGCTCTATAATTGGCCCTCTGTTGTTTAATGTCTCCTCCCTCATGGCAAATGCATCTCTAGAAATATTACAGATCATCACTTTGCTATTATCACCCAGCTGGTGATTGCCATTCATTTTATGAAACCAAACTCAATGGCCACGCATTTCGGGCCTTGAAATTCTCTAATCATGGATTGGTTTTAACTTCCACTAAATACCAGTTACCAAAAAAGCCCCATCTCGGCAAGCAAACCAGTTTCATGGAATCGTACCTCCATTCGCGCAGCATCTCACACCAATGAATGAGGTCACATGACCCCAATAGGCTAATGCCTCCACTGGCTCCACATTCCATTTGGATGCATTTCAAAATCCTCCACAAACTCTCGCATCTCACGTCGCACGCCTCCCCATGCCTTTCTCGACATCTCCCCTCGTAATTCTACAGTGAAATCCCGGTCTACGTCTCCCCCGTTTACGTCGTTTCGCAAATACGTCGTCGCTTTATAAACACCATGACCGGATTTGTGTCGCCTCAACCCACACTTACGTCGCTGACAGCATCGTCCGTCATTTCTCGTATCCGTCGCCTCTCACTCAGCCTTCGCCTCCACATATACACCAACTACTTTGCGTCGCGCATAAAGAAATGTACCGTACTGTAGAGTACAATATATTATTCACGTACAGCATTTTGGTGATTGTTTTTATAGTGTGTCGTATGTTATTGTACCCTGTATAATTTGTGCTAAAAGTGTACTTCTGTACACTCGTGTTGAGTGCAGTATTTTTTGTATTTTCTTTTTTTACTTAAACGTAACTTCGTGGGTACGTCTAGCATGAATATGGGCGCATTAATCCACAGCTCCACCGCACCACCACGTTGTCTTTGTTTAGCTCTCGCTGCGTACAGACGACGTTTCCTTTGATCGACGTCGTTTCGATATTCCCTGCAACTTTCAAGATCGCATCCCCGACGAAAACCGAAGTCGGACTGCACACTCCCTTCGGCGCACACTCTGCTGCAAGCAATGCCACCGCCTTCTCTCTCGATGCTCCCGGTTAACCTGCACCCAGTGGCAGGTCACTTATTCCATCGTTTAGGAACCTTCCCCGAGCCATTCGTTCCTGTGACTCCCTGCCCCTGTACGGTATAGAGTCAATGTTGTAACTTGCTGACCCACCCCTACACTGGACATTGAGACAAAGAGCTTCATAGGTCATTGGATTGCTCCAGACTAAATACAAAAATTAAGATTGTGAAATACATACCTTTTGTTCATGTCTATGACTGTCTCGACCAACTATGCCCACTTTCTCTGCATTGAGCATATTGAGATGTGGAATATATAAAAAAGTATTGTATGATATAATGCATTGCACATTTTGGAACATTCTCAGCCAAAGTTCTGTGAACATTCTCATAACACGTTGATATGCACGGTGTCCATAACGGTATCGACCATTATTGATTATTTCAAATCAAGACCACCGTTTGAACCGCGTGGTTAAAATATCTGCAACAAATTCCTTACATACTCCGCTTCTTCTGAAACCGAAGATAGCTTGAGTGATCTTCAACAGCACATTACAGAAGCATTTGAAACTATTCAGAGCCGAGGTGCTCATGAAAACCGAGGGCTCTCAAAACTCGTTGCGCCGACGCGTGTCGCCAATGGTACGGCGGACACGTGGAGGTTTAAAAGTGTGATTAGTTCTTCACATTATCAGCTGTGTGTGTTTACAGTATTATTGGACCGAGCTCAAACGGCTGCATAATTAAAAAGTCTTTAATTACTGGTAAATGAATATGTTCCTGTATTTGTTCCACTTATACTTTCCGCCCTGCATGTTTCTGTGCTTATAGTAATCGCCACTGAGCAGGTACATTACATATCAGCATAATTTTATCTTTTCATAAAAGGGGCTTGCATTAAAAATGTTTGTAACAATTGGAACTGCTCAGCAGTTGAGCGAGCGAGCCTCAATCCCTTGTGAATTCACATCTTGGTTGGAAAGTTGACAGCCCATCATTCCTTGAGGGTCGATAAAATAGGGTACCAATTTCCAGGGGAAGTTAATAGTGGCTCTTCTCTGCATAAACTAGCTCCCTACATAACAATGTGGAATTTCCTACACTGGATCAGGGCTGTAAACAGGAGATTGTGCACTGCATCAATGCTCATTAATAGCAGGAAATTGTCGTGTTTTGTTGTTCTGTTGTAACAGTTTTTAACTTGGCTAGTATGATCTCTCTACTGGGCAGGTATAGGTAGGGAATATATGTTCAATTCCAGTCAAAGGGTGTACGTACCCTTTAACTCAAAAGCCTCATGGTCAAAATGTCTGCGTTATGAGGAAATGTGCTGTTTCCCCGCTTGTGCAAGAACGCAATCTTGAGACTTTACCACCATTTTCACGTGTGGCATGCGGTTGAAGTGCAATCTTGCGACGACGATGTGAACCACATAAAATGGATTTTTTTTGCTGTCGAGTCAAATTGTTTATATAAACACGCACTTTGTAATACAGTACGGTGCTGAGGGTTGAGTGGTGGCACATGTTTAATGCATTGTATGATGAAACCTGAGTTTTATTCTCTCCATGGCTAACATCAAAGGTGAGTGGTGTCTGGACCAATCCTGCTGCCCCCATCCCCTCATTAAATAAAAAAATGTGTCCCTTCAGCCGTTCAGCCTTATGGATCAAGGTTTTGGTGGCTCTGCTGATGAGACTCATAAAAAGTGTATCCTGGTCCCAGGGTTCCCGTGCTGAACCAAATTATTTTGAAATACTCTTTGGTTTTTTTCGGTAAAGTCACGTAGGTAAAACAATAAATAAAATAAATGACTTAATGTAGTTGTTTTCATTTATTTTATTTTATTTATTGTTTTACCTACGTGACTTTACCGAAAAAAACAAAGAGTATGAATCATTGCAGTCACGAAAGCTTCAAATCTAGAATTTAGATTCTGAAATACATTGGTTTAGCAAGTCCATAGGCCGATGCACCATAATGCAACTTGTTTTATGTTGTGAAACAGGCCAACCACCCCAATGCATGGCCTTCTTGAAAAATACCCCTGAGACTCTGAACTCTCCTCAATACATTAAACAACAGCACTGTATTTAGTATCTGTGCAGTAAAATGAGAGAAGGGAGATACAAGATCGAGATTACAGACACTACAGTACAGCGTAATGTTTGTTTTTTATGTGATAATTTGCTTGCTTATTCCGAAGTGATTTTGAGCTGATATTTGATACACTTATCTTCTTTCGTGAATCTGGAACACCTTGAATTTCTTGGAACCCTAAAGCTTTTGCTTTGTTAGCTTGGGCCTATGAGTAAACCCCCCCCCCCATTATGAGCAACAAAAGGAAGAATGTAATGCATTCGATCACTGTTTTGTGGGTGATTGGATCGCATATCATCCTGGAGAGGGGCTGACTCGGCACGAGAGCGTCATGGCTTCCTGACCCATCCATTACCTGCATTTTTTTCCCAATAACTCTGTTCGTGTCGTCCACTGGAGAGAGACGTTGTGGGCACTCTGGCCCAACATATGGTTTACATCGATGCACTTTGTCACTGGCCCAATGGGTGGTACCATGTGGCTTGCACACTGAGATGCTGTAACAGGGACCTATTGTTACTTTAAATCTTAACAGCGCTCCATAAACCACTTCACATTCATTACATTTGGAATGGGTGACCGTGCCCATTAATCTCCTTCGTGTAATGTAATGCATTTGTTAATGGCAAACATTGATAAACATACGTGCGTACAGCTCCTTTGTCAATCCACTGTTGGATAACGGCCTCCCCACGCTGTCGAAAGTTATTCGACCATGCTTCACCACGCCGATGAGTGCGGGTTAATGACGGTGGAGACCATAGATGTGGTTGCACAGAGTCAAGGCCGTAGCCATAGAGTCAACATTGGGGGGGACCAAACCTTCCAGGGGGTCTGGGGGTCCCCCCCCCCCCCAGAAAAAAAAACTAAATTTGAAAAATAATTTCCTGCTTAAAATAGTAAAAAAATCACTAACACATTGGATGGACTTTTTGTTTTATTTTTTTACAATAATGTCTAATAGTGTATTGTATAACATTGCTCTGCTTTATATTTTTTTACTTTTTCTTGTTTCATTGTATGTAATGGCAGAGATTAGGGATTAATAAAGTACAACCATTACCACAATCATATAAACAGAAATCTATTTTATAGCAATATATTGGGGGGACATTTTGAGCACATTTGAATATTGGGGGGGATATTGGGGGGGGGGAGTGTGTGTCCCCCCAATATTCAAATCTAATTACGGCCTTGCACAGAGGTACGGTACAAAATAGGTTTCCCTGCACTGGCTTCTGCTGACCATCGTCAAGGAGCATAAAC